AATCACATTTTTGCGGTTTTGGCATGAAAAACGTTTTCTCGGGAAAACACGTTTTGGCGGGAAACCACGTTTTTGTGGTTTTGGCAGGAAAACACGTTTTCTCAGGAAAACACGTTTTGCGGTTTTGGCGGGAAATTACGTTTTTGCGGTTTTGGCGGGAAAACACGTTTTCTCGGGAAAACACGTTTTGCGGTTTTGGCAAGAAATTACGTTTTTGCAGTTTTGGCGGGAAAACACGTTTTCTCGGGAAAACACGTTTTGCTGTTTTCGCGGGAAATTACGTTTTTGCGGTTTTTGCGGGAAAACACATTTTGGCGGGAAAACAAAATCATAGTTTATTTAAAACATTAAAACTAAAGATATTAAAATAGTGAAAAACATAATGTTGTAAAATTAAAATCCATGGGTACCCATTACCCTCTTGTATTTACCCAATCTAATCAATACTATTAAAAGAGAAGGAGTCTAAATAAATCTACTTATATAAGTTGTTTGGACCCTTTATTTTTTAGTCTAACCTATAACATATAACAAAATATTATAATTAACATTTATTATAACAACCAAATATAATATCACACGAATCTTATCAAGATCTTTCTATAATATTTTAGGTAATATATTAATTTCTGATTGCTAGATATTTGTTTACTTTTTAGAAAATTTGTGTGACATATCTGGTCTATTATAAATACGTCTCTCTAGATATTATGGTTACCAAATAACATTTGAAACGAGATTTTGTATATATACCGATATGTAACTTTTGCATTCAAATGGATCAGTCCAAATCGTATTGTTTTCTTGACTTCCTAATAATATAATTGTACAATATTATACTATATTTTTTGATATCCCTCATTAGTATATTAGATATATATTTAGTTATCCCATGTGGTAATATAGTACTCATCAATTATTAAAATGAGTTATCATATAACATAATACTACCATATCTTCTTAGATTATATAGTTCCAATTACAAAATAGAATTCTATTAAATATTTTAGAAAAAAAAATTGTTGAAAAAGTTATATATATTACATTAAATTATTTTATAAAAAATATTTATAAAAGATTGTTATTTAATATAAGTAAAACTATTAAAAAACTTATAAATCTATACCGTTAAATTAACTAAAACACTGCCAAGTAATCTTAAATTTCACCAAACGCAATAAATATAACTTTTATAAAATATACACAAATGTAAAAAGAGAGTAAGCTTAGGAATTTGGATCTCTGGTCAGATACGAATCGTGTTCTTTCGAATATGAATCTTTCAGATCATAAACATTTAGACCAAAGTAGGTTTGTTTTTTTTGGTTTGGGTTCCTGTTTCTTTCGAGTTTCGATGCATAATTAAAATACATGTAAACTACATGTAATTTTTTGTTACCTAAAGGTCCGGATTGGTTCAGATATTTAAGACCCAAGAAAATTAGAAATATCCAAAAACTCCAAAAATACATAAACACACAAAATACCCAAAATAACTCAAATTGACTTGAAATTTGACCCGATTAACCAAAAAATACCCATACTTCATCTAAATACCCAATATATATATATATATATATTTTGAAATTTTACCTGAATCCTAAAACTATAGCCGAAAACCAAAATTCGTAACTTTAAAAAAATATTTGTAATATGATAATATATCCCAAATACCCAAATACATCTAATATACACCAATATAATTCACGTATTGGGTATCTGATCAGGTTCTGGTAAGATTCAAACTTGAACAGAGATCCGAATGTCCAAGAAAATATTTAATAGGTATTTTTTCTTGGGTTCGAATTCAAACCAATATCAATGAATCGTTAAACTGTATATATCTTTTTAGTGATATTTTAATAAAAATAAATAAAACCCGCGCTTTAAGCGCGGGTCAAAATCTAGTATGGATTTTAAAATTGTATACCCATGTTAGCCCAATTAGTTTAAGATGGGTAAAAACACAACCCATGGATATTTATCCATATTAACATCCCTATCTCTAACTCCTTATTTTTGTCCATAAACGATGTTTATCCTGAGACGATAATAAATAAATCCTAACAATGAAACCCGACGTCTCTTTTGAGAGATGATAATAATCGAACTACGTTTAGATTTGATCCCGTGATAGGTACGTAGACAGCTTGATCCCGAGTTCAGTCATGATCTTCCTTCAATTGAAATATCTATGCTATTCGGCATGTGAATATAATCCAGTTTTGTCAACTCAAACCTGATTACATCGTTGTGTTCTAAGGATATTGGTGCCCACTTTATTTTCTTCCCTCGTTTTACATCTCAAACACTATCAAATACTTAGTGTTGATTTTTGAATCGAACGATTACTTTAGTGAATCAATATAATAAAATTGGGAAATTGCATAATAAAATTGGGAAACCATCATGTCTCCTTGAAATAACAAAATACTTATTTGTTTGTTTATGAAACCATCATGTCTCCTTGAAATAACAAAATTCTTAAAAATGTTCACAAAATCAGTATAATAAAATTGGGAAAATTGCATAAATTTTTTGAAAGTGGCATTTACTGATGTTTTAAATTTTGAAGTTTTTTTATTAGTATTTTAAAGGGTGAATTGGTTGAAAATACAAGAAGAATGTAGTAATTAAGAAAATGTCTAAATATTGTGGGGAAATAGTGATGATGGAGGGAAAAAATTTGTGGGGAAATTAGGTATGAAGTGCAAATATGGTAAATGTTGTAGGTATGGAGTACAAATATTCTATTTTAAATTTTCAAAGTGATATTTGTATTACAAAAAAAATCTTTAATCTGACTTACTTGTTCATCAAGTTAAAAATTGATCTGTTGAACATATAAAAACGGTAATTTATTAGATTGTTTTTCAAAAAAAATAATTATTTAATTAAAGAATCATAAAGTTTAATAAAAAGCAAAAAAAAAAATCAGAAAACTAAATCAAAATTTTGAATTATATAAAAATTCAGGAAAAACAAACAAAATATAAATCAAGGTTATATAAATCGAGAAATAGCCCTTTTAGTGTTTGAAGAAATAAATAGTTAGAAAATATTTTGTAATTGCTTACATACCGTCAAACACATAGAGTGCATTCTATGCAGATAATGATTTCCGGCGAAGAAGAGGAAGCTCTTGCGAGTTCTGTCCCCGAAGAAGCTAGTATTGTCCCAATTTCAGATTCCGACAAGTTCGTATACCAAATTCTCAACGGTTCCAACGAACAATGCCTCGAGAACTTCCGAATGGACAAGCCCGTCTTCTACAAGCTCTGCCACATCCTCCAAACCAGAGGCTTACTACGCCACACCAACCGAATCAAGATCGAGGAGCAACTCGCCATCTTCCTCTTCATCATCGGTCACAACCTCCGCACTCGAGCTGTTCAAGAGCTCTTCAGATACTCCGGCGAAACAATCAGCCGCCATTTCAACAATGTCTTGAACGCAATCATGTCAATCTCCATCGATTTCTTTCAATCCACTACTAATCCCAACGCTGATCATACGCAACAGCTAGAGAGGTTCCATCCTTATTTCAAAGACTGTGTTGGTGTTGTTGATTGCGTACACATGCCTGTGATGGTTGGAGTCGACGAGCAAGGTCCTTTCCGCAACAGCAGTGGAGTCCTTACGCAGAACGTACTAGTAGCTTCTTCGTTTGATCTCAAGTTTCGGTACGTCTTAGCTGGTTGGGAAGGCTCAGCTTCTGATCAGCAGGTTCTTAATGCTGCTTTGACTCGGCCTAACAAGTTACAAGCCCCTCAAGGTATAATAATATCTTTTGTTTGCTTTTCTTGAGGAACAAGATGTGATTTATGTGTTTATGATTTTGCAGGAAAATACTACATTGTGGACAATAAGTTCCAGAATCTTCCAGGCTATATTGCGCCTTATGACGGTGTTTCAACTAACTCCTCAAGAGAAGAAGAACCTAAGGGGATGTTCAATGAGCGGCACAAGTTGTTGCATCGAGCAATTGACAGAGCTTTTGGTGCCTTGAAAGAACGGTTCCCGATCCTACTATCAGCTCCTCCTTATCCTCTTCAAACACAAGTCAAGCTGGTGATTGCGGCTTGTGCATTGCACAACTATGTGCGCTTGGAGAAACCTGATGATTTTGTGTTTAGGATGTTTGAAGAAGATACATTCATGGCTGAAACAGAAGAAGAAGAAGAAGAACATGGAGGAATGGCATTAGAGGAGAATCAGGGACATGAACATGGCTCATTTACACCAGAGGAAGTGGAAGATGGTTTAAGGTTGAGAGATGAGATTGCATCTGATCTTTGGAACCATTATGTTCAAAACCTGCCTACCTTCTAACTTGTTAAGAATACCAAACTAATGTAAATTTGAAGTTCGAACTTTTTACTAAGAGAACAGAGATTAAAACCTAGATCAGCAAAACTAGAACCCTCAAACCAATATTTTTATCCCACCATTGGTTTTTTTACCATTGGAGTATATCTAATTGCTCTTTATCCACACACAAAATTGACAGCAAAACAAATTGTTTAATCCATTTAGTTCAAATAACTAATAAAATTTTGAGACAGTAAAGGAACAACAAACAAGAAATTTGACTAGATGTTTCCTGAACTAGAAGGGTTTTGTAGTATAAGTGCTCATCAATGAATCTAGAGTTTTATTTTAAAACAGTGCAAAGCATAATTACCACAATCATCAAAACACATTAAACCTTACCAATCATGAAGCAACTGGATAGCTTTTGGATAGCTTTTAGAGCATCTCTAGCTCCACTTTATTTTGCAGTAAATTATGGAGTGGGGTTAGAGATGCAATAGAATGATTACTTTAGTGAAGTACTTAAAAGTTTAATTTCAACAAAAGAATCAGCTATCCAATCTTTAAAAAGTGTATTACTAATATTTCAGATGTAACTTCAGATCTTATAAAAGTTGGTTAAGGTATGAAGATGGGTTATGGGTTAAGGCTAAAGAGATGAGATCGCTGAGGGACCATCATATCCAAAACATGTCGATCTTCTTCTTCTTAAGAGTGTTTAATTGTTAAAAATAATATAAGTCGAATAACACTATTTCATGTTTGCTAAGTACAAAATACATCAAATCAAATATCCAAACACCAAATTGAATTACACCAATCATGGCAGAGAGAGAGAAGACCCAAGAATAAGTACCAAAATCAGGAGATGATCAAACACCTTTTTGCTTTTTCACAATCCATTTTCTCTTTGCGTTCTCTATAGCATCTTCCTTCAGTTTCATCAGATCTTGGACGGACTGGTTGAACTGTGACTCAATCATGTTCAGTTCTGTCTTGAGATCTTCTGGGTACTCGTTGTCTGAAATGTAAAGAGTTGACATCATTGAGCAAGAATCAAGAAACGAGCTCATCGACTCTGCCTCCTGGCCAGCTTCCATGGCAGCACTACCGTTTGAGGAGAAGGGTAAGTAATAGTCCGTTGAAATTCCTGACTTCATTGATTCTTCGTCTTTCGAGTTCACAGTTAGCTGATTTGCTGCTTCATGGTCCTCACGGGCAGCTGTATGTGGAGAGGTTTGGTTTGGATTCGATGATGTCGGCTCAGAGTGAAGTTGCATTATCAAGTCATCGATCATATCAGCTATCACTATAACCTCTTGGCTTGTTAGATGCAGCTCCTCAACCATTTCCTCAGCGATTGCTGTTGCTGTGTCTGAATTCAGATAGAATGCAAAGTGTACGATTCTTCCTTTGCCTGTATTGTTCAGAACAATTCATTGATTCAGCAAAAGGAAAACTGTGAGGAATGAATTTTTAGATATAAATTTTTTTCTTTTAAACGAACCAGATGAATCACCAATACGCAGAAGCATTGATGCTGTGACATCATCGCTCCTTTCTCCTCTCAACCTGAACTCTTTATTCTCTGCAAACCTCTGAAGTTCAATGGTTTGGGACCAGGGGTATTCTTCGTTGTTGCTTTTCCGAGAGGAGCAGATGGAGACGCTCTTATTCTCGTTATGATGATCCACATCCATGGGAAGATGGTCAAGCTGCGGTGGTGGTGGTCTGACAGGATTGCTTGATGAAGCAAGAAGAGCAGAGTCCTTGCTTCCATCTCTGGCGAGGAACGGGTCCATCGAGAGCTCGAGAGCATTTGGTCTAGAAGCAGCAGGAAGAAGACATTTATCTATAAATTGCTTAACTTGAGGATCATCAACTCTGCTGAGAGATTGAGGCTTTATACCCTGCAAATGCATTGGATTAGTTTCAAAGAGGAGAAGGGGGCCAGCTTCAAAAACAACTTTTGGTGAAAGTCAAGAGACTTACCGAGGTGACCTTCTTGTAAATCTGAGCTTGATTTTTGCACTCGTTGTATGGATATTCACAGGTAACCATCTCCAACATACACATGCCAAAAGAGTAGATGTCCACAAGCTCATTGTATTCCTCTTCATAAAGCTCAGGTGCCATAAACTCAGGAGTACCTAAGCGAGAGTATTATCGTTAAATTTGCCAAAGGTCCAAAAAGTGAAGATGTTAGATGGGTATTATTACCTATGACGCTTCGAGCAGTGGGTTGCTGAAGAACAGTAGCAAGGCCGAGATCACCAATTTTGATCTCTCCAGTATTCCCATTGACGAAAATATTGTCACACTTGAGATCCCGGTGAATAACAGGAGGGTTCTGAGAATGCAAATAGTTCAAGCCTTTAAGAATCTGCCTTGCCCAGTTCTTGATAGCCTTGGGGTCAACCTTCCTATGCTTCTTACGATATCTACTCAAAGAGAATTGTGTCAACCAATGGGGATGAAAAAGCAGAAGAAATGAGGAGATAGAGATACACTTACAGCCTGAGACTACCAGAGGTGAAAAGCTCGGTGATCATGTTAATAGTCTTGGTCTTCTCGTCGACCCAAGAGTTGAAGAGCTTGATGATGTTATCATGTTTAAGGGATTTAAGGAGATGAACCTCGGAATAGAGCCTTTCAAGCTGACCAGGCATCTGCATGACATCTTCAATGCTCACTAGGTTCCAAGCTACTTCTATTCCATCTACTTCATCAAACGCCTTATACCTGATTCGTTCGTTTTAATTGGAACCAATCAGCATACTTTAAAAACTTTTAGTAAAGCATAAAAAAAAGAGTTGTTGTGTAGAAAGGCATACACAGTCTTGAAAGCTCCTCTCCCTAGGATATCATGATACTGAACAAATAAAACAAAACAAATAAGAATGAAAACAAACTCATTAGTAGATTATAGAATAGCAATGCAACATTGAGCCTATTATTCTCCAGATATATAGAATAAAGTGAGACACATAATAAGAACACAACAAGTTAGGTGGAAGCAGAGCTAGGCAGGATCTAGCTTAATGCTTAAATATCCTAAACATTTAGGTTTCTTAGTTTGAGTTAGGTGGAAGCAGAGCTAAGGTAACCGATTAATTCATAAAAAGAAAAAAAAAAAAAAACATAAAGGAAAGGTTTATTAGCTAAAAATATCCTAAAAACATATAGGTTAGGTTAGGTTAAATTGAAATAGGGAAGCGTACCCTAATGTAGCGGCCAGTAGGATCTTTGTCAGCGAAGTCAGCTTCTTCTTCCATACCCGAATTTCCAGAACCAAAAGCCATTTTTATATAACAGAAGAAGAAGAAGAAGGAAGAGGAAGAGGAAACGAGAGTTTTGTTTATAAGAGAGACTGATTTGAACGGAGAATTTTTTTAAAAGAAAGAAAAAAGGAGGAAGAAGAAAGGGTGCTATAAAAAGAAGAAGCAATCGGAGAAGGCCTCACAAGCGAAGCAGTAAGAATCGATTGAAGATCGAAACCTAGATCGGAAACGGAGTTTGGCGGCGAAGGGAATCCCCATCTCCAACGATTTTTCCTGTATCCCTCTCCTCTCCTTTAACTCATCCATCGATCCTCCACCATCTCTTCGTTTTCGTGTTTTTGCTGCTGCTGCTGCTATCAAAATATTTTTGAGAGAATTTTGTTGGAATTAATCTCAACAATTTTGGGGGGTGAGGATTGGGGGAATAATGAAGGGGTTCGCGGCCAAATCGGAAAGTCAAATGATCTGTCCTTCTCCAAATACATCATCTACCCACCTTTATTCAATTTAAAAATACCTCCTTCGAATCTAATCCTCTTTACACCTAATTTTCTATTTTGTTCTTTATTTTTATTATTATTATATTTTGGCCGAATTTAGCTCTTTTCTACAATTGTATTTTTATTTTGGGTGTAATTTTAAGTCTTTTTTAAGTTATGTGTCTGGCAAAATAAAATATATGAGTAGTAATGTTTAAGCAGAATGCTATTTAAAAAGAAAAATCTTAAAGCAGTTTCCAAATAAAATAAAAAGAAACAACTTCATTTACCAAAATTATATATAAACGTTAAAGCAGTTTCCAAATACACTTATCCATATTCATTTTGATTTTATGGATTCAAAATTATTAAACACGTATTAACATTTTTTCAACTTTGTTTCGTATTAAAAACCTAAAGTACAAGTACATCTATCTTGGCTGATTACTCTAATTAATAATTAAATTTCAGATAAATTTAATAATTGAATACAGATACAAACAATTAGATCCTAACCAATTTCTAATGCCTATCTATATTTAAAAACTGAAATTCAAAATAGATGTAATATTATTTTCAACAGATTTATCACATCTATTATTTCCTTATTTTACTCCTCTTAATTACTTTATTATTTTTTATTTCAAAATAATTTAACATTATTTATTACAAAAGCATAAAACATAATTTAACTAGTTTTAAATGGTTTATTATTTTTTACATTATATTTTCACTCTTTCAAACTATTTCCTTATTTATATTTACCACAATTATTCGACATTAATTATTTTACATGTTAATCATAATATTTTCACATGTTTGAATAAAATTATTCCATTAGTATAAGAATTCAAATTTGCTAACAAGATTATTCTTTTTATATAATCAGTTCTAACATGTGCATTCAAGTATGTGTTTGACTATAGATCGGTTTATTCAGGTATCAGATTTCTTAGATTTTAAAATTTGTTAAGATATTACAAATTTTGGACAGGATTCGAGTCAAATTCTTACGGAATCGGATAGGTTGGTAGAAACGTAAAAAAAAAATCTAAATAACCTATATATATAAATATATGTATGTTTCAAACGTTATTAAATAATTTATAAAAAAAATTAAGCTAATTTTGCACGGGTATGTATGAATCAAATTCTAGATAGTTACACAAAAATATCCATGTAGATATTTTTTTAGAAAATAAAATAAAAAAAATATTGTGAAGTACGAAAAGAAAAACTATTACTTCAAATAAGAATTAGCAAATTTTACCACTAAAAGATTCTAACTATCTATAAATTTTAACATTAATTGTTTCTTCATAAAAAATATTTTATAACTAATTAGTGATAACACATATTTTAAAATATTTTGGAAAATAAAACGATTTGTGAAAACTACCTAACATATCATTCTTCTTTTATTAAATAAAATATATTTAATAGATAAATACTAACAATCTATAAACATTTTAAAATGGTAAATTTTTATATTCTCAACAATATCTTATGAAACTATCTATCAAAATTCCCAACTTTATCTGAAAGTTGTGTAGATCATGAAGCGATCTTTCTTGTCGGGTTGTGAAGTCTTGGATTTTGGTTACTAGTGTGGATGGTATCGTTCGGCGGGCCATAGGTGGCAGTAATAGATCCGGGTTGAGAAGACAATGGGTCGTCTTAGGTTCTAGAAGTGGATGGTATCGTCGGTTGACCGAGATCACTGCATTTGCTATGTTGGAAGGTCCTCTGCATTGAATTGTTCTATGTGGGATTGTAGTTGGTTTTCGGTTGCTGTGGTGTAGTGCAGTTGTGTTTTCTTAGTTCTAATTTGTCGTGTTCTTAAGTTGCTCCGATATGGGTTTTAGTTGCATGTTTTTTGGGCTCTTATATCTTGGAAAGTTGAAATCTATCAGTTTATGTATCAGATATTTGTATTTCAGTATGAATAAATATTTTCAGAGAAAAGAAAAAAAAAACAAAAGAACATAATTTATGTTGGCTCTGAAAGATGTATATTTTGAAAACGGATTAACATAGGTTTGTTGTATAACGTTTTATAAATTCTACAAACAAAACATGTTTAGTACTATAGTCCTAAGCCCAATCCCTTTCTTGGAGAGATAAATGGGCCTATCTAGATGTCAAGAAGAAAGCCCAAATATAACATAAGTCGTGGTTTATCAACCGGTGAGAAGTGGAGGTCGGTAAATGATAATCGTTGTTTATTATTTGGACATCAATCATTAAAGCTAAGATAGGTGAGCCACCCACCGTATTTAATTTCTCCACATTAAATTTAAAATTCTCTAAACATAAAAGAGCATTGAAGAAAAGGGAGTACTTGTCAGAAAAAGCCCATAAACAGCCCAACGAGGGAAGGCAAGACACAACAACAAAAGAGAGATTTGTTATTCCATTCTTTCTCATCATCGCCGGTGAAAAAAAGGATGTACGTGAGGGCGCTTCCGACGACGGATGTGAATAGGAACACGGAGTGGTTCACGTATCCAGGCGTATGGACGACATACATACTCATACTCTTCTTCTCATGGCTCCTCGTTCTCTCCCTCTTCCACTGCTCCCCTGGCATCGCCTGGACCATCGTACACCTCGCCCATTTCACCGTACGTTTTGATATTCAAATCTCTAATCTAGATCTGTCTCTTTTGTTAGGTGATTATAGATTTTTTGAATCAATCTGTCTTTTATTTCTTTCTAAGGTGACGTATCATTCGTTCCACTGGAAGAAGGGAACACCGTTTGGGGATGATCAAGGAATCTACAACAGGTTGACTTGGTGGGAACAGATTGACAACGGCAAACAGCTCACTCGCAACCGCAAGTTCCTCACTGTTGTCCCCATTGTCTTGTAAGCTCCCTCCCTCTTCTTCTCCTTTCAAATCTTACCTCTTTTTTGACCTATCACTATGCCCATGAGATCCAAGCCCATTGACAAGAGATTCTGTCTCTCTGTTAGTTTTTTTCTTTAACTTTAGCTAAGTAGAGATAGATACGTTAAGACAATCTTGATCCTTGTATGCCCATCTTGTGCTTTTGTCTCCTTGTGATTTTCCGATGTTGGAAAAAAAGATGCTTTCTTTCTGATTCTATACCCTTTTTTTTACTTCTGCTTATGCAGAGATGCTTTCGAAGAGCTTAATGATTGACTGACTATTAATTACAATTACTTTACTAGATTCAACCACATTCTGATTGCCATTATTATACAAAAGACTTACAATATGACATGAATATTCTTTCCGTAGTCGGACTTTATTTTGATTTTCTGATTCTTGACTTGTGATTCAGACCTTTGTTCCAATCTGTTTCACTGATTACCTATTATTTTGAATCTACTTTCTTCTTATGCGTTTTTAGGGAGTGCAAATGAACAAACGTTAGATGTATATTTTTGCATCCCAGGGTTTCTCTGTTAATGTTATGAATGATAAGAGATTACTGAATGAAATCTGATGCATGCAGGTACTTGATAGCTTCTCACACAACCGACTATCAACATCCGATGTTGTTCCTCAACACATTGGCCGTATTTGTAATGGTGGTTGCCAAATTTCCGCACATGCACAAGGTCCGCATATTTGGAATCAATGGAGACCAATGAAGGAGAAGCCTTCTTGACAAATGACAAGACAAAGGGTATGTGTATAATGCGAGACAAGTAGATTTTGGATGCTGGAAAATGCCATTGTCACTCACATAGTCATTCAATCCCCCCCCCAACCCCAGAGCTTATGTGTTACTCTCATCCCATCGCATATATACTGTTTCTTTGGGGCTTCTTCTAATCAAATTTCATTTTTCTTTTTGTTTTATTTGGTGGTCTCTCAGTTTCTTATTTGGTGATTAGTTTGGGTAAGAAAGGGTCTTTGGAATGTATGCAACTCGTCTGATTATTTTAAAAAAAGATTATTCATTATCAAGATTGGAATCGAAAGATTGCTTTTATTTATAAATAACGATTTTACTTATGCATGTAGTGTTTTGTATCTATTTGTCTAATGTGAACCAACTTATCTATGTTATTTTACAATTGGTTGGTTCAAAAGTGATATGTCACCCTCTTATCTATCTGGTGAAGCAACAAACACAATGAAGAGCCTGACTACAAAGTTTTACAACCCTCAAGACAATAATCAAAACTTTTATTATATATCAAAAATAAGGGGAAGAAACTAAATTAGCCACTAAAAAGTTAGCATTGAGCTAGAGTTCTGATAAGAATTATCATATCTTCAAGCTCCTTTGATTATTATTGACATGACATAAACAAGGAATTAAAAAAAGGTAACCAATATAGTAATTAGGCACTAAAAATGTATACATCTTGGTTGCTCACGACGCACACAATAGCCTATAATTTCTTCATCTCTCACTCGGCATAATTAATAATAAAACGATGACTAAATCAAAATGAGAGAGGAAAAAGTCAAAATTATGAAATGAAGATGTCAATTTCAAAGTGTAGAGGAAGAGAAGTAAAAGCACAGAAGTATAATGAAATGAAAGTAGGATTAGAAAAGGGCAAGTTGGGCAACAAGTCCGGACGATGTAAGTTGACCTGCTCGTGATTTATTAGTTGAGGACGACTAATTCCAAATTATTTTCACAAATAAATAAAAAAAGAAAAAAAAATACAAAGAAGAAAAGACAAAAAAAAAAAGGAAAAGGATATTTGTTCCTTGTTTCTTCTTCGTATAATCGAAGAAAGCTCTGACATTTCCGAAAATCTGGCTCTCCAAAATTCCTTCCTTTAAATAAAAACCAAACCTCTCTTTTTCTTTTTCTTTTTGCAGTTTCTCTAGCGAGGAGATGTGAAGAGTCTTTTAACTGTCAAAGAGCGTGAATGGATGCAAGGTTTCATAAATCTTTAACAGGATGATAAACCCATTCCTTTCCATTATTAGAAAGTTCATAATTTGATCCCCAAAAGAAAAAAAAAGGTTTTAATTTGATCGACATGTAAGTGTACATACAATCTCTCTTTGTGTTGTTTGAGTGGACCGTTTTTAAAAAATTTTGGTGAATTTTGACTTTTTTGTTGGGCAGAAGCTGATGATGATGGGAAGTAGAGGGAGCGATGAGGATTGGTTCTCGGATGCACGTGAAGAGGTTTCGGATTGCAACTCCCAAGTGGAAGAAGAAGAAGAAGATGAATTTGTACAAGCAACAGGGGATCTAGACCTCTGGACCATGAATCCAGACAGTGTTACAAACCGTCGTCACAAGTTTTTCCAATCTATGGGTTTCAGTTTCAAAAAGAGAGACGTCCTTCACATTGATCCCCAAGACGATGTTACTATTCCTGTCTCCCAACCACCATTGAACTCTGTCTCTGAAACTGCTGATCACGAGGATCACGAGGAAGACGAGAAGTTGTTGAGGAATGAATCTCTGTCCTCTCAGTCTTCCTCTGTTACATCCTTGTCAACTTCTTCTCTGTCTGATACATTTCGTTTCAAAGGACCGTGTCTGGATCGTGCCAAGCACATTAATGATCGCATTTTCTTGACCAGAGATTGTTCCAGTAGATCCGGTTTGAGTGAGTCTGGTCTGAGCGAGTCTGGCTCCAGTAGATCCGGAGATTTCCAGAGCTTTTCATCGAGTCGCTACGAGGATTCACCTAAGAAGGGAGGAGCGAAAGGGTGGTTAAAGAAGTTAGGTGTTCTAACTCATGTTCTTGACAAAAACGAAGATTCCACCACTGATGGTGAGTCTTTTGGATCATCGACAAGGAGGCAACTAACTAGAGTTCAGTCTTTTAAGAAGCAGTTTAAGGAGCTCTCGTCTCTATGCATCGGACAAGAGTTCTCTGCTCATGATGGATCCATTGTAGTCATGAAGTTTTCTCACGATGGGGAATACTTAGCCACTGCTGGTGAAGACTGTGTTGTCCGAGTATGGAGCATCACTGAAGAAGAGAGAAGAGAGAATACGTTTGAATTGGCTGAGTCTGATTCCAGCTCTAACTGTGTTTACTTTGGGATGAATGATAAGTCACAGATTGAGCCTTTAAACATTGAGAATAATGAGAAAATTGAAAAGAGTAGAGGATTGTTGAGGAAAAAGTCAGAATCGACCTGCGCTGTGTTGCCTTCAAAGGTCTTTACTATATCTGAAACCCCTCAGCATGAGTTCCGGGGACATGCTGGTGAAATCTTGGATCTTTCCTGGTCCCACAAAGGGGTAAGTAAGCTTTCACTTTTATAAGAAATGAGATTTAACATTAACTTGTGAATGTGCTGTGTAGTTTCTACTATCATCATCAGTGGACGAGACTGTTCGTTTATGGCGAGTTGGCTCTTCTGATGAATGCCTCAGCGTTTTCTCTCATAAGAGTTTTGGTGAGTTTCTTTACTTATCTGATTGTCTTCTTCTTTTGGTATGTGTCTTAACTTTCTGTCTCCTTCTTCTTACAGTGACTTGTGTGGCATTCAATCCTGTGGATGACAATTACTTTATAAGCGGATCTACTGATGGGAAAGTCCGTATATGGGATGTGTCTCGTTTCAGGGTTGTGGACTATACAGATATAAAAGAGATTGTTACAGCTTTGTGCTATCGCCCTGATGCTAAAGGTGTTGTTGTAGGTTCCATGACTGGAGAATGTCGCTTTTTCCATACAATTGGTAATGTGTTTTCTTACCAAGTTCACCTATGTTTTCTTAAATATTTTTCTGCTTTTATCTTTTTGAACCTCACTCTCTTTCTCTTCTCAGATAACCAGCTGGAACTGGCTAAAGAGATCAGTTTACATGGGGGGAAGAAGACGAAGAAGAAGGTTCCTAGCAAAAGGATCACTGGTTTTCAGTTCTCTCCCGGTGATTCAGACAAACTAATGGTCACTTCTGCTGATTCTCAAATCCGAATACTCTGTGGAGTGGATACAATCTGCAAGCTTAAGAAAGGTTTTAATCAAATTTACTTCCTCTTCGCTGAGGTGGATGCTTGTGTGAGTTTGTTTTGAAATTACTATTGTTGTTTTTATTGCAGCTTCAAGTCTTAAAACAACACTGAGCCCAACCCCTGCTTTGTTCACATCGGATGGGAAACACATTGTCTCAACAATAGAGGACTCAGGCATTCATGTTTGGGACTACTCTCAACCCAACAAGAAAACTGCTTCTCAGAAACCAAAAACTATCAGGTCTTATGAGGGTTTTCTCTCAGACAACGTCTCTGTTGCCATACCTTGGCTAGGCCAGGGGAAAGAGGAGGACAGTGTCTGCAGTTTCATTGCTGATTTGGACAAAAGGTATGCTCATTTGCCGTTGCCAGTGAGGGATTGTTTCGCTCCAGTGAAAGGAGCGACAACGTGGCCAGAAGAGAAGCTTGGAGTAGTAGCAGGTTCTGTTGCAGCAGCCATCTCAGCTACGGCCAGCAGCAGATCCAAGCTGAGGCTATTAAGGAGCGTGTGCCAGAACGTCAACAACGCTTCTACGCCTCACCTGTGGGGGCTAGTAATTGTGACTGCAACTTGGGACGGTAGGATCAGAGTGTTCCATAACTACGGTTTGCCAATTCGGGTCTAAAGAGAGACTGAAGCAGAGTGTACATTTCCAAGTTGTTAGTGTAGAACGCTTTGATTTGATTGGAGCTCACGTTAAGCCTTAAAGAGGTTGACCGAAAAGTGGGTCTCTTTTTATTGGTTCTATATGTGTAGCTGTGAGTGACACAGAAATATTGTTATTACTATTGTGTGTGTGTAAACACTGGGCATTAATGTGTTTCAAAACAAAACAAAAAAACACTGGGCATTAATATAAAAATACCACCACTCTTAACCGTGGTTTGAATTTGTGAATTTGTCAATGACATATAAGTTGTAACAAGAGACACGAATGTGAGACCTCTTCCTGATCTTTCTTCTCCAATCCATGAATGAGTCCATGACATTGACGGTAAGAGTTCTTCTCCTCTAACAGAAGAAAGGTTCTTCTTTGTGCATCAATAAACAAGAAACGGCTGATATAAAAAATCTGCACAAGTTGAGTTTAAAGTATTCAAGCAGACAATACACTCGCACAAAAAGCAATCCGTTTAACAAACTAAATGATTGCTCTTTCATATATGAACTAGGATTAGGCCCGCGCCTTACGCGGGATGAGATGATTAAATTTGTTGTATTTTTGAAGATAAGAAGACATTATATATGTTTTATTTGCATATTAGTTTGTTTTGGATTGGTTGTTTCGGGTTTTAATATCGTCCAATTATATATCTATATTATAAATAATGTCTTTTTGGTTAAATTGCGATTTTGATTTTATGGTGATAACACAAGACTAAAATTAATTACAAATTTGTTTTTGGAGAGGCCCTCACTATGGTAAGTCTCTATGTTAAGGAAGATGAGAAATCTAATATAAATAAAATAAACTCAATTCCATTATAATAAAGATGCATAATCTCATTCTTCCAAAAACAAATAATGGTCTAAATATAAATAGGTATCATATAAAAACAACTTCAATCAATAATTAGATAGAATAACTTCAAAACTTCAGAAATCGATGATTGGAATCCTGCAAAGACATGAATTTCAATATATGAGGAAGAACAAAGTTTTTAGTGTATATACTACACAACTTTATAAAACCAACTAAGTATAATGTGCTTACTGCGATTTGAAGAACTGAATCTCTGGGATGTCAGTATCACTACAAGAAAACGCGGGCATAACGACCACAGATATAGAGGTACTTTGGTAGTAAATAGACCTTTACGACCACATAACAACGAAACACGTTTAGTCGTAACTAGCCCGTCGTAATTAACTTTTGGTCGTACTGTGGACTTAAATATTACGACTAAAGAAATTGGTCGTAAAACAAACGTAAATAGAGTAGTCGTACTCTAGATGTGGATATGACGTAAAGTTACGTCCAATCGGTTAGACGTTTATTGGCCGTAAAAGTTGGTCGTAAAGTGGAAGTCAATATCGAAGTAAAATAGTATTTAAATCGAGGTAACTTGTACGACCACATAACCTCGACTCTTGAAAATTAGACACAACTTGATCGTAAAAGCTACGACCAGATAACTTCGGTTTGGTTTATTTAATACGACCAAATAACCTCTAGAAATATAATAAAATTTCACTTTTAAAATTCACAAATTTAAAATTTTTAATTTACGAAATTTAATATTTAATTAAAAATCCTTCATTTCGAAAAGAAATTTAACTTAATATATCCAAAACATAATAAAAATATATATTCAAATTACATAAGAAAACTAATTAATTATTAAGATTAATGTCTGCGAAGAACTGGGTGCTATGTTCATCGACTCCTCGCTCTGCATTTACTCGTTCTTCTGGAGTTAGGTTGGGATAGATCGTTGAACGTCGAGGTCTCCACAATTCCGCAAGGGCTGGGTTTGTTTCCGCCATAACATCAAACATCTCCGCCATGGCCCTAATGTGGTTCCTGTTGGCCTCGTTGTCCGTCCGGAGGGTCGAAATGACTTGGTTGGCGGTTGTCAAATCGGTTCGGAGCTGCTGAGATTCTTCTTGTTGTCTTGTAGCGTATTCAGCACTAGCCCTCGGGACATCGTTCACCGTACCGATCCCGATCATCCGTCCCCTCTTCTTCGGGATAACCTTCATTTAAAATAATTTAAATTAATTAAATTAATTAGTATATAAATAATTAATTATAAAATCGAATAATAATTAATTACCTTCTCAAAAATTTTGTCTTGTTCAACGATGGATAACTGAACGGGTTCCCCTTGTTCCACCGTCAACTGGGTCTGGACCTCCTGAATCTGCTCCTCAACATCGTTGTAGATCTTTTCTGCTCGAGGATCTACAAACGTCCCGTTAGAATGCTGATGGGTCAACTTGTAAAGTCGAGCAAGAGACGGTGGTGCTCCTTCCACCGCAGCCTACAGAACAACATAATTAAATATATTAAACTAATTAATTAATATATCAATAAAACAATTTAATTATTAAAAAGGTAAAAACAAATTAAAAATTAAAAAAAAACATTTACAAAAGCTTTACTTACAATTTGTAGAGCTTTCCCTGCTTGAGAAGTCTGTCCAGAAGTGTGGGGCACAACGACCAAATTACCCTCAGCATCACGCGTCATTCGGTTGTTGGAGCAACGGGCCGAATCCTTAACTGACTTCGGCAGACTCTAATAAGCCGTCAAGCCATTCCAAACGTGATCGCTGATGTAGGTCGGTTTACATTTTCTGACATCGGGATCAAACCTCCACTTATCCTTCCAATCGCCCACAATATTCTTAAGGCGTTCTTGCGCCTTATCGTAAAACCCTTCCTTCACTGTCTCGTTGACCGCAATAGACCAGTTCCATTTTTGCTGCGAAAAATAATTAAAATGAGAAATAATTAAATAATTAAATGAAATTAAAAAGTGAAATAAATTTATTTAATTAAGAAAGAAAATAACTTAGCGCAAAGCATTTGAACCAAGTCCTCCGAACGTGGTCCAGTGTAAGGGACTAGTTCGGATGAGGCTCCCGGAATTTCGACCTTATGATGTTTGCGACGCTCCGTCCCAAGCTATTATCTGTTGGAAACCTACAAAAAAATGATTATGAATGTTATAGATGAAAATATATATAATTAAAATTTCATATATATATATGAAAAAAATTATAATTAAAATGACCAGAGAGTGTTTGGTGGTCTATCTGGATCGATGATGGGTAAACCTTCTCGTCCCGGCATTTGGAGAAGATCTTCCACCGTGTATCTAGCGTAGGGAGCATCCGGTGGCACAAGCAAATCCGGATGAACACCCGGAGGAGGAGGCGGAGCAGCTTCATGGACTGGAGGAGGGACATGCTGCTGCTGCTGATGCTGCTGCTGCTGCTGCTGATGATCATGATGCTGCGGCGCTTGATGATGATCATGATGTTGCTGCTGCTGATGATCATGATGCTGCTGCAGATGATGATCATGATACTGCTGATGATCATGATCCTGCTGCGGATAGTATGGAGGCACGTCAAACTGAAGAGGCTGCTGCGGTTGCACAAACGGAGGAGGAGGCACATAAGATGGTTGAGTGCCTTGGGCCGCGGTTTCAGGGACGACAAACTCCCGGGCTGTGCCAGAGCTGCTAGCTGATGGATCCGACGACGACGAACCGATAAATGTTTCGCCGTAAGAAGCAGTTTGGCTTCTCGCTGCGTGGTTTCTTAATCTCTTTCTCCCGGCCATATCTACATATTCAAATAAAAATTATGATTAGAAACAATTAATTCCAAAATAATTTTAAAAGTAACTAAATACTAATTATTTAATATAAATAATCTAATCCCATGCTAAATCAATTCCAAACCTAATCTAATTACCACCTAACTAACCACCTAAACTAACCACCTAATAATTATGATTAGAAACAATTAATTCCAAAATAATTTTAAAAGTAACTAAATACTAATTATTTAATATAAATAATCTAATCCCGTGCTAAATCAATTCCAAACCTAATCTAATTACCACCTAAACTAACCACCTAAACTAAAACTAAAACGAAAACCGAAAAAAAAAAAATACCTGGAGAGAGGGAAAGTGGTGGCTAGTGAGAGAGTAGTAGTGAACGATGAAGTGAGCTCTGCTCGACGAGTTTATATAGGGAAATACCTTTTGGTCGTAATGTGGTCGTAATGTACTTCTAGATTACGACCAAAGTCACTTTACCACCACTTAAGGACCACGTGTTACGACCAATCAGCATCCACTAGTGACGACATTACGACCAATTAGATTCTATTTATATTTACGACCACTTAGGGTCTAATGTTTACTTTTACTTTACGACCAATAAGACTCTAGCAAGATTTACGACCACTTCGGGACCAGTATTTACTTCTAGATTACGACTAAAGAAGGTCAACTTTAACCATTACATCCCATTTACCACCAAAAGAAAGTCATGAAAAAAAATATTCCTAAGACATGTATAAATAATTTAGGCAAAGGTTCTATAGAAATATTTCAAATCTATGGAACCATTTGTCTAAATTATTTTTACAAATATCTTAGGCAAAAACTCAACTATATGTTTTTTACAAAAAAAATATTCCTAAGACATGTTTAAATAACTTAGGCAAAGGTTCTATAGAAATATTTCAAATCTATGGAACCATTTGTCCAAGTTATTTTTACAAATATCTTAGGCAAAAACTAAACTATATATTTTTTACAAAAAATATTCCTAAGACATGTATAAATACCTTAGACAAATCTTCTATATAAATATTTCAAATCTATGGAAGAATTTGTCTATGGTATTTTTATAAATATCTTAGGCAAAAACTAAATTATATGTTTTTTTTTAAAAAAAAAAATTGTGTTTCGATGTTTAAAGAAAGAGATGTTGTTTGTGTTTTGAAGTCCAATTTGGAAAGGGACTTGGTATTTATAGGGAATGTTTACGACCAAAAGGTGACCAGGCTGGGACTACCAGTGTTTTACGACCAGAGAGGGACTAAGAGTTACCACCAAAAGGTGACCAATATTAAAAAAAAATATATATTACGACCAGCCTGGGACCACCTGTGTTTTACGAACAGAGAGGGACCAAATTTAAGACCAATAAGGGACAAATATATAAAATATATATATATATATATATTACGACCAGTCTAGGACCACCTGTGTTTTACGACCAGAGAGGGACCAAATTTAAGACCAATAAGGGACGAATATATAAAATATATATATATATATATATATATATATATATATATATATATATATATATATATATATATATATATATATATATATATATATATATA